ATGAGCCCCACAGCCAAAACCCTCCTTGCCCAGCCAGCGCCGGCACAGACCCCCATCCCAGCCCCGTCCACTGCAGGAGCAGCAGCCACCTCGGCAAAGCCCCTCCTGGCTCCACAAAGAGCTCTCTGGGAACGGGCCCCACGGCTCCTCTCCAACCCTCAGCTATAACGATCCACACGCAGCGCGTGGCTACCTGCAGCTACCTCCCACCAGCCACACAGCGATGCTCGCTGGAGTCTCTCCATAAGCAGTGACAGATACGAGGGAAGTGTAGGATGATGTCAGATACGCTTCAAATGTGTATGGATTACAGCACCATAAATATTTTAAGGGCTTGAGTGAATCTGTTGCTAACGTCGCACCAAGCCCCGCTGGCCCTCCCAGCGCTTCCCTCGGCAGTGGATGCCATCCAGGAAAAAGCATCGTATTTTTACCCTGGTGCTATCACTGTGTCTAAATAAAGGCAAGGATAATTGTAGCACCTACAGAAGAACCAAGTGCATTCAAAACAGTCTGTTTCAGCTTCTCCAGTCTATAAGATGATTCTATTTTCCCAAACACACCTCAGAGTCAGCGTGCCACAAGCACTCACCCTCTTCATGCCTGCTCCAGGCGTTATTTCCTGCCCGCCTGCTCACTGGGAAGGACACGACAGCAAAATGGCACCGTGTCTCCTTTGCCCGGCCACGGAGAAAACCCCGGGAAAGGGAACGGTGCAGCTCCTCCAGCAACACCCACAGCTGGAGGCTGCCAGCACACAGCCCGGGGAGCGCGGGCACGGGTTTGCCCAGGAAGGTGGCACAGACCACAAATAACCCCATCGCTTGCAGACAAGCTGTTACCATAGAACCACAGAGTCCTCATGGTTGGAAGGGATCTTTGAGCTCGAGTCCAACCACACACACACACAAAACCAAACCCCATCAATCCTGGGCACTAGAGCATGCCCTGAAGGGCCACGTCTACATGTTTCTGAAATCCCTCCAGGGATGGGGACTCCACCACCTCCCTGGGCAGGCTGTTCCAGGGCCTGACCACCCTCTCAGGAAAGTCATTCTTCCTGATATCTAATCTAAACCTCCCCTGCCCCAACTTCAGACCATTTCCTCTGCTCCTGTCATTATTCCCTTGGGAGAAGAGGCCAACCCCCACCTCTTTCCCCCCTCCTTTCAGGGAGCTGTAGAGGGCAATGAGGTCTCCCCTCAGCCTCCTCTTCTCCAAACTAAACATGCCCAGTTCCCTCAGCCTCTCCTCGTGTGACTTGTTCTCCAGACCCCTCACCAGCTTGGTTGCTCTCCTCTGGACACACTCCAGCAACATCACACTCCATCATCACCAACAATTAGGGGCGATTCTGGCCAACACCGAAGAGACACCCATCCCTCTGGAAGGGGCACGCTGGAGCACCCAATGGGCACAGGATTTGCAAATCCAAACTCCAACAAGCGCTGAGCACTGGTCCCTGTGCCCCCCGGGTCCCACAGAGGTGGGGGGAGCGTGGTCCCAAACTGCTGCCAGGGTCAGGAGTCCCCAAGCCCATGACTGGGACAGGGCTGGATCTGGGCTACGGCTCCTCGTTATGGCTTCCAGGGGCTGGAGGTGACGCTCCAGCAGGATGTCCCCGCAGCAGCAGTGGGGACGAGGGCATCTCCCAGGCGATGGCAGTGTACCATGGTCACCACCAGCCCCGCTCCTCTGTTCCCATGGCGATCCCCGGCAGCTGCACCACCACCTCGACTTTTCCTCTCTCTCCACAGAGATCCGTGGAACAAAGCAAAATAAAACAATTAGGCAGTGTCTGCAGGGGTCAACACGCAGTCACTCCTTTCAGGCTGATTTACAGCTGCCCAAATCCCATGAAGAAGCCGAGGCTGAAGCCATTCTGGGCTGCTTTTTACTTTTACCCCTGTCCCATGGAAACTGCATGGTGTGAGACGCCAAGTGTGAGACTCCAGGGCACACTCTCTTTCTCCAGCTCCGGGGGACTTCGCCACGGGGCCAACGTGGCAGCACCAACAGTGGGAAGCATCCCATAAGGGCAGAGGGAAATCACCGCCATCATTAATTTAAGGCACCTCCACTGGGATTAATTCTGCATCAGCACTTCATTTGTGCCTATAACAAAAAGCAGACGTTCAGCTGGGGGACACGGTGCCCAAGCGACACCCAGGCACTGCCAAGGGGGGACACGAGCTCCCAGGCTGTCCTGGGTATGGCAGCAGGCTGGAACACAGGCTGGCAGCCGTCCCTCAGCTGCCCCGAGGAGCCCCCACTTTGTTCCAAACCCCAGGGGAAGAAACCCATCATGGGAAAGCAGAAGTCACAGCTGGTTAAAGCCCCGTCGGTGGCCTCAGGGAGTTTTTTCCAAGAAGTGGTGAGGGGCTGGGGAATCGTTCCCTGCGGGTCTGGGGGGGTTTATATCAAGGTGCAAACGAGAATGATGCAAAACCGTAAATGCAGAGGTAATAAATGCAAGCAGAAGAAAGGAAGGACAGCAGGAACACCGACCTGGATGGAGCAGGAGACAGTGGGATCTCCAGATCCCACTCTGGATCAGGAGAAGAACCTTCACACTGAAAAAGGCCCCAGGAACATGGAGGTTCAGGCAGGAGCGGGGTCCAAGAGAGTGACCCTGGGAGGGAGGTGGGACGGTGCCACTGCGGGGACAGGAGCCGAGGTGCGGGGGTCCCGAGGGTCCCAGGGGTGGAGGAGGATGGCCCAGCACAGCGGGGGACACTCACCAACATCCTCCACACCCCAACTGCCCTGTCCCTGTCTCACCACATCCCCAGCCCCATCCCTCTCCTCCGCTGCCGCGCTTTCCATTGCCCCGGCGTTTTCCCTTCCCCACTTCCAATAGCCCCAGGAGCTCCAGGTTTCCAGAGCCCCAAAACATTCTGTTCTCCTCACACATTTCCTTTGGAAAGCCATTGCTGTTTGCAAGCCAGAAATATTAGTCAGCATGCTGTATAGCGCAACGCTAATGAGAATTAAATCGATTCATGAAAAGTACCTGCTCAGCATGTTTCTTATCTATTTTTCAAACACAACTATATTGGATTCTGGCTTTTTTTTTTTTTTCCCAGTCCCAATATACCATCCATTCTATGAGTTAAGTATCTACATAACGTATAGTCACAACCTCTATAAACTACCAAATCTATACATTCCTAAAGTCTCTCTCTGGCTTCAGAATGGCTTCATCAATTTTTTGTAATTTTTTTATTAAAGAGAAATTTCACATAGGCAGGTAGATGGATATTTCCTTCGGGAGCCAAGCTTATGTGCCAAGCTAAACGCCAATACGATCTGAAGCAGCCCTGCTATAAACCCCTGAAAAATAGAAAAGCCTCATCGATATGACAGATATGCCACTGTAATTAAAGTCTTTGGTAACAGACATTATGCAGCCAAAATATTCTATTTCCAGCTGCAGCATTGATCAAATTTTGACATCCCACATTAACTGGCTGAGGTCTCTCTGGCCTCACAAAGCACAACGCCACAAAGCTTTTGTTAATTATCATCTATAAAAATGCCTCCTGTACCTGGTGCCTGGCGAGTGCTGACCCACCTTATTTCACCCCGTCCCGCAGCACCCCGAACCAGCCTAAGACTTTTCCTCCGTGCTCAGGAATACAGTGTTTATATTCTTTACTGCCAGATATGAAAGATTAAAACACGTGCCAGCCTTCACTTTCCAACGAGATGCCTGGTCAGTGCTTTCCCCCATGGTCAGAAAATGGGTCTCAGCACAACACCCAGCTCTGGTGAGACTGTGACCCGGCTGGGAGCGGAGAGAGGCTGCCAGCTCAGAAATCTAAAGAAAATATGTTAAAATTACGATGTTAAAATTATTAGGGTGCAGCTGGCCCATGGCTCCGAGCCCTGCAACACTCACGCCTCTTTGGGAGGGATTTCCCAACCTTTGCATTTTCACAGTGAAAAGCACATCCCACAAACCCAGGCGGGTTTCCCAGTCTGTTCCCATCTCTGCAGAAGAGCAGTTCCCATTTACACCAGCTTTATTACAACTTTCCTCCTCAGTCTTTGGTCCTGACCAGTTTGGAAGGACAGACCCCCCTGGTTCGCATCAGGAGAACCGGGATCATCCACTAATGGAAGGACAAAGTCCTGCTCCTTGGAGCAGCTAAAAGATCCTCTGGCTTAAAATACAGCTCTGCTCGACAGGCTGGTTATGTAAAAATGGCCCCGTCTTGCTCAGTAGCGCAGCCCCTGACGAGTATCTGGAGAGACAGCAGCTGACTTTATTGACCAAAATCAGATTTTACTGTATTTTCCCCCCGCTGTCCCCTACAGACAACGAGCCAGAGGAAGCACGATGGCATCTCGCATTGTGTGTGTGTGTGGAATAAACCATATTCCTCACGAAATTTCCGCTGCCAAGTCACTTTTACAGATGAAGACAGCGGTTACCAGTGAAGGTAATCTACCCAGACGGTAATTGCCAAAGTGTAATTAAGGGCAAAGCACGGTCTGCATCTTTGAAACCATGATGCAGGAGGAACAAAGCGCCCAGCTGCTTCCCAGGGCCATGCCAGATCCTGCCACCAGCAGCTAAAAAATCCTGTTTCTGCTTAGGAAAAAGAGCCGGCAGCTCACACACTTCCCTCTGGGATGGGAACAGCCTCTAAGGACCGGGCATTTTTTGCAGAAATTCAGCTCATTCTTGGCCATAGTTACCCAACAGACATGACAACCTCTGCAGGAAACCTGCCTGGCCAGCCCCAGCTCCCACATCTGCTTGGGGTAGATTTTACCATAGGGTTTGGTTTTCCCCACCGCCACAGCACAAGGCAAAGATAAGCACACACCCCCTCCTTGAACAAGGCAGGACCAAGGCCAACGAGTAGCTACTGCCTCCCAAGGCAACAGGGACTCCACCTTCCACTGACACCCAACGCTGCGCAGGAGGGGCCATCCTCAGTGCCCTCATCATGCTGGGGAACCCATCTTCACACCCCGGGGAGGACACCCACCCTGGGCCAGCAGTGGAGGAGCTTCCACAGACCGACAGCATCTCCATCAGGACCTTGCCCACCACCACTGACGGCATCTCAGCGAGGGTCTCCCTGCACAGTCCTTGCCCGTCCTCACACACGGCTCCTGGGAGAAGCCAACCCACCAGGTTCCAGTGAGGAAACGGATCTGCCAGGTACGGAGAGGGAGCATGGACACCTTTGGTGCCTCCAGCCTGGCACGGGGCAAACCGAAGCATCACACAAGTTTCCATGGAAGGAGATGGCCTTGCTGGAACGTGGCCACAGACGTCATTCCCATGTACATGATCGCTTTCAGCTCCTGAAGAATGAGTCAAAAATTAAAAATAAGTGGGCTGCTCGAGGCACTTTCACTATTCCCCAGACAGCTTGAGAAAGGCCTCCTACAGTGCATTACCTAATTTTTACATGACAGAAGCAGCAAATTTCTTCTTTCGTGATGCCATTGTACATACCTTTCAACAATGCTATTACCAGGTGTGTGTGCATCTATATTTGTCTGCAACTTCTTATATGGCAAAGTGATAACCAAAGTAGTTCTTTCAGGAAGCTGGCTCCTACGAAGGGGATGGCCAGCAGTCTCACGGCAGGTAGCATTGTAAAAGAGGTAGGAAAAGTTCCCAGAAAACAGACATTTCAGCTGGTGAGGAAGTAGCAGCACTAGGAATGTTTTCAACGGGTCTCCATAACAACTTGTGTTTCTGCCTCCCATTAAAATGCGAGTAAACATGTCACCAGTTTCTCAGTGGACATTTGGTGGATGTTTTCCTCAGCTGCCTTTTGTATCCTTGGTGTTTAGAATTATATACTTGGAAATGAATTTAAATGGGAAAAGGAGAGGAAACCCAAGAATCTCTCAGCTTGGGCTGCTACTTGGTCTTCAGACTTAACTGTGCATTTCAGGCAGTTTCCTTCCCAGCCCACAAACCACAGGATGGAAATGCTGGAGCAGGGGATGAAGGATGCCCGGACGGAGGGCAGCTCTGCTGAGGATCAGCTGGGTAAGAATGAATGACAGGTTTCTGTTGCAAATGCCTTTCCAGGCTATAAATAAAAACACTACTTTGAATAGAGTCAACAGCAAACTGGCCAAAGTGTTGCTTTTACCCCCTGGGGACCCGTAGGCTGGGAGGGGTGCGATCCTGCACCCCCGAGACTTTGCCCATGAACTTCTCCAGGGCCAGGACTTCCCCTGGCTCCCCTGACACGCCAGTGATGCTGCAGGGGCTTTGCAGGAGCCTGGCTGGTGCTGGACCACAAGACTGAGGGGATGCTCGCAGCACCTGACCCACTGTGTGGACTCGCAGCCTCAGACCCAAACCCACCTTCCTCCACGTTTCGCACAGGTCTGGCACCAGTCCCAGTTCCTGCCCCCAGGTCTGGGCTGTGGGAGGGAAGGGGGGGCTCTGGGAGCAGCCAGGAGCTGCTGGGCTGGAAGCCTGATGGCTCCTGGTGCTGTCGGCAGCGGGGAGCAGCCTCTGGAGCAGAAGACATCACCTGCGCTGGGGACTTCAGACAAGAGACCCCGCTGGGCCAGCAGTGGGCTGCTAACCTATTTCCCAGCAAAAGCCACTGGAAACTCTCAGAAGATAAAAAGATAATGAACAAATAACCTTCACAGCAGCCAGCACTGCAAAAACCCAAGCTTCCCCTTTGTGTCGGCTGCCTGTTATTAATGATCCTGTCAGGTCCTCTAATGAACTTTGCGCTTCATGTGGAAAACGTGGGGTTTGTCCAAGAGCACAGTCAGGAGCTCGTGCTCATTTATTCCTCGTCTTATGCAAGAAAGTTCTTACATTCTGCATCTAAGAAATCGCATTTTTATATTTATTTTCTGACATCTCCACGTTCTCGTAGTACTACCGAAACAAAACACCGCTGTCTTTTCAGGAAAACGCTTGATGCATCGAGCAACGGCAAATCATTAATTATTTCAAGCCTTTTACACCACCACTGACACCACAGCGAAGAATTTAAAACATTTCCTCAGACAAGCGGCTCAGTCACAGCAAAACCGCAGCACCAGAGCGTCGCTCGGGTTCCTTCAAAGCTCGCTTTATTCCTCGCTGGGAAACGGCTCCGCGCTCCTCTTCGGAGATGGGGAGCACGAGGTGGTAAATACAAACCAAATACACCACTAGAGCAGCCCCTGGCCGTGGGGATGGACAAAAAGCCTCTCCACCCGGCGAGGTGCTCCCCGGGGACACAGCGAGGGGCAGTGACCCCCACGGGAGCAGGGACCCAGCATCACACGGCGCCGAGGGACGGAGCATCAACGGGCACCGCTGCCTTCCCACACCCCAAACCACCACCTGGGTTGCTTTTAAGATGCCTCCATGGCATGTAATATTACCAAAACCCAAGCTTTTCTGAATCAAGAAAAGCCAACATCTTCCTGCTCAGGCAGCTGCTGGGAGCCCCCCAGTCTGGGCAGGTGGCGCAGACCCACAGCCCCCTCCCCGAGAGACACAGCCCGAGCCCAGCAGAGACGGGTGCTGGGACAGGGTCCTCCCCAGAATGGCAAAATACTGCCATGTACAAAAAAAATGCTCAAAACCAAAACCACGAATAGAGGCACAGACCCAGCCACCCCAGCCCACCCTCCCTCCGCCCCGACTCCCCAGCACCCCCCCTGAGCCCACCCGGGCCGGGGGACACGGGGACACGCTCTCCGGGCTCCTCACCAGCTGGGACGGGCTGCTGGGGAGTGAAACCCAGGGCAGAGGAGAGGAAGGATTCATCCGAGCTCAGACAATGAACCATTCGTCCAATACAGGGATATTAACCAAGTAAACTTCCAATAATCAAATAAAAAAAGGCTTTATTTAGAAGAGGAATATTATCTAGCGGCACCAAAGCCCTACTCACACTCCTTTATCAAGCTCAGCCAGAGGTTAATTTTGTTGCCAGGTTTAACCAGTGCCATTATCTCAAAGGTAAATAAGACCTCTTAAAAAATCAGCTCTGCCTCCCAGCGCTGCTTCTCTCCCTCCCCCGGCACTGGAGAAGCCAGAGGACACGTCAGATGGGCCATGCTTCGGGGGGGGCATGAAGCCCACCCACATCCCACCCGCTGCCAGGGTGAGCGGCACAAACCCCAGGGTAAGGCAGCAAAAATACACGTCCCAAACTTCCAGCGAGAGGCTTTGCTCCCCAGATGTGTGCTGGGATTAACAGCACTGTGAACGACAACGATGGCTTACGCTTTGGGCAGCCTCTCCGTGTTTAAGTAAAAATAGAAATACGTAAATTAGAAACAACAGGCGTAGAAACAGGCTGGGCGAGGGAACGCCACGGAGCCCAGCAAGATGGGAAATATCTCGTGAGGGAATGACCTTCAAAACTCATTCACCGCTCCCAGCCCCGATGGTGATGGGTTTTCTCACTTGCAAGACATTATACATTCCTGCTCTGCACGCTCTAATTCTGCCCCGACTATAAATACTTGGCTCATAAGGCAGCACGAAAGCAATAGCCAACAAATATTTAAGTGGGGTAACCTTGATTGTGAGGGTAATAGGAGCTAATTCCTTCTACCTTAGGCCGCGCATACTAAACACCAGGGTTCACTCTGTGCTAGGCTGAACATGAAAAAAGGCACTGAAATACGTGATCAAGTAGTAATTTAAAAAAAAAGAGAAAAAAGAGACATGCAAAATGACGACACCTCATTAAATTACCTTAAGGGCAAAAAATCCAGATTTTTCTTAACTGCATTGCCTACACTTTCTCTCCCAAACTACAGATTTCCACATAATTTGTATCAAAAACAGCCTCCGAGAGCCGAATTAGTTTTGCTTATGCAAAATAAACTGGGCTGCCGTTATCATTGTTTACTGGGTCACACTTTACAACCCAGGTGGGGGAGGCAGGAGCGGCATTAGCATTCTTCAGCCGTTGTTGGCACAAACCGCCGTATTTATCCATTTCAGACTATTTAAGCAAAAACGACGGAGCCTCCCCCCCCGCAGCATCCCCCGGTAACCGTCCTTCAGCATCCCCGTGAACAGCGTCCTTCGCCCGCCAGCGGCCAGAGCCTCCTCCTCCTCGGAGCGGCAGGACGGGGAGACCCGGGGGGGTCCGGGAAGGGGGGGTTGTTGTTATTTACGCCTTGAGTCACCTTTTCCCAAAACTCTGCCCTGCCTTTTCCACCGCCCCCGGGCCGGGCTGGCGCCAGGCGGGAGCGGCGGGGAGGCCCCGGCGGAGCGGCTCCCGGGCAGCCCCGGGCAGAGGCACCGGTACCGGCGGGGACGGGGAGCGAAAGCAGCCGGGGCTGCTCCCCGCAGCCCCCCCGCTCACGGGGTCCCGGCACCCCCTCGGGCGGCAGCGCGGAGGGCACCACGGGTTTCGCCAGTTTTTAGCAAAACGACACCCCCCGGGTCCCTGCGCGCCGGGGGGCGGCCCCGCGCATCTCCCGCACCCCCCGCAGCCAGGCAGCCACCGGGCGGGGGGCGACGGTCCCGGTCCCGCCCGGCA